TAAATGTATTGTAATAAGACAGTCATTGCCTCAGGGGTTGCAATATAGCCACCATTACAGAATCAGTTAATATTTAAATAAGCAACACTAATTAAAACAAATAAGACGACTGTTAAGCAATGTATGCCCTGTGTCGGAAAAAGGCCCTTGTAACACTTAATATATACAAAATACAAAATATGACAATAAGTTGGCTGAAACCAAAATATTATATTGGTGATAATGAAAAATGAAACTTCAAAACAAGCCTTTTCAGATCGTTTTTTTTCTTCTTTTGGTTGAAATTAGCCTGGTAATTTTTCAGTCAGTTGTAATCTGTGACGATTTGTATCTGACTAGAATCAAGCAGTTGAGGAAAAAAATGTTTTTTTTATTTGTCAAAATGAAGGAGACAAAATTGAAATAAGTTTGTGTATTTTTTTTTCTGCACCAATAGCAATACATTTTTATTGTGAGTTAGCGAATTCAGCGTTGAAATGGACCGTTTCATCATGAATCTGAATATTTTCCCTCCAATTTTCATCTCAACAGCCTTTCAGAGTAAAGACAAATATACGGAAGCGTCCTTACGAAGCGTCCTGGTGCCAATTTACATGTTCTATAAAAAAAGATAACTCCTACGTAGGACTTTGCAACTCCTACGTAGGACTTTATAACTCTTACGTAGGAGATAAAAAAGCCTAATTAGGAGTTTATAACTCCTACGTAGGAGTTTGTAAGTCCTACGTAGGACTTTATAACTCCTACGTAGGAGATAAAAAAACCTAATTAGCAGTTTTAAAGTCCTACGAGGGACTTTATAACTCCTATGTAGGAGTTAAAGAAGCCTAATAAGGAGTTTATAACTCCTACGTAGGACTTTATAAGTCCTACGTAGGTCTATTTAACTCCTACGTAGGACTTTATAAGTCCTACGTAGGACTTTATAACTCCTACGTAGGAGATAAAAAAAATTAAAGTCCTACGTAGGAGTTTAAAAATCCTACGTAGCAGTTTATAACTCCTACGTAGGACTTTATAAGTGTTCCTCTACGTAGGAGTTTTAAAGTCCTACGTAGGAGTTATAAACTCCTAATTAGGCTTTTTTATTTCCTACGTAGGAGTTGTAAAGTCCTACGTAGGAGTTGCAAAGTCCTACGTAGGAGTTGCAAAGTCCTACGTAGGAGTTATCTTTTTTTATAGAACATGTTAAATTGGCACCAGGACGCTTTCGTACGTTTCGGCCACAGAATTGCACAATTCTGCATTACTTTTTCACAATGCCGCCGTTATTTGCACCACACTGCGTTACTGAATATTCAAGGTATTGAACGGAAAAAAGGACTAGCTGGAAACAATGTAGATACTAGTACGTTAGCTAAAATGGCAACTCACTGGGCATTTTAAATAGAGAACAATAAATCTTCTCAGAAACCTTAAAAAACAAGTACACCAAAAGCTCAATAAATATTTCTTGTCGCAACTACCGCATTCATAGTTCTATTTCTTTCTTAATAATAATACCCGTTGTATCCCGTTGTATCAACATCCAAAAGATATTTTTCATCGAAATTCTTTTACATTCTTTGCCCGTATCATTTTTGGTCCCTTTTGAAATCATAGAGCTATCTCCTTAGCGACATGACTACCTCCTTCACGACAAAGCTGTCTCCCAGGACAAATATCCTATATTTTCTTTATAAACTTATGTTTTGACCTTTTGACCTTATTACTTCGACTGTAACAAAATGAAGATATTAATTTTTAGCTTTTAACATGTTCCTTGGCAGGTAAACAAAAACTAAATAAAATCATGCCGACATACAAAGTGGAAGGAGTATCTTTTTTTCAGCGAAATAAAATATAAAATTTCTTACCTACAAATGCACATGAAGCTAAAATAATTACAGCCGAATTAACGGGCATGTTAGACAAATATCCCATTCTGGTGAAAATTAAATGAAACTATATTATATTGTTGATAATATTATATGATATACATATAGTCAACTAAATGTTACATGTAAACAACATTTATCAAATTGGACTTAAGATAAAATCATGTCCTATTTACATGACGCAAAGTACGAACGCAAACACAAACATTATCTTTTTCTCACTAAGTTTAATTTAATACGCAATTTATTCGGCCAGTTTGATATATACGAAAATATTGTTGACAGAGTAAGTGATAAGAACGTGGGGTTTATCATAATGTAAACATATTTATTTCCCGAATATATACATATACAGTACAAATCAAACATGTTTTAACAAGATAAGGCTTAGAACGGAAGACTTAGTCTTATAAAATTCTCCTCCATAACTATTACTTCGATTGAATTATAAACTTCGTCATTTTTGTCCAATAAACTATGATGATTTTATCTTATATACGGTGATTTTTAAGGCGAAAGGATATGAGCCGCGTCATGACAAAACCAACGTAATGCGTTTGCGACCAGCATGGATCCAGACCAGCCTGCGCATCCGCGCAGTCTGATCAGGATCCATGCTGTTCGCTTACAAACCCTATAACAAATAGAGAAACTGATAGCGAACAGCATGGATCCTGATCAGACTTGCGGAGGCGCAGGCTGATCTGGATCCATACTGGTCGCAAACCCACTATGTTCGTTTTGTCGTGACGCGGCTCATATTATATATTTATTGATAACCAGACATTAAAATATCATTATGACATTATGTGATATTATCCTTTAGTCATTTTAAGTATGCTATCTTAGTTTTAGAATAAAAATGTAGTATATATTAGCGAAAAAAAATATGCTCAAATTATCATATTCAATTGACACATTGAAAAGTTAGGTCGATGGTCACCCACGGTTCATCTCCAAGAAACACTATCAAAATAACAAACATTTCTAAGAAGAAGACAAAAACCTTAAATTAACCTTCCCTGAAAGAAAAAAAAAGACAAGCCCCCAGGATGTAGGAGATAACTACCCTATGATATTGGAGATATTATTTTAAGAAATGTGTCCACAAATGTTATAAAATTGGATATAAGGCGACTAAAACTGGTTTAAGGCGGCACTCCTATAGGGATTACTCCAAAAGTTGGATTTAATTAGGCGATTTCTCCTAAAATTGGATTCAAAATGAAATACTCCTAAAGCGACTACTCCATTGTTTCTTTAACCAAATAAAACCATATAAGCAACATCATTTTTACAAGTAACATCAATGAAGAAAATCAATTGTTACCTTTTGTTCTTATACCAACACAACCTCCCTTTTTGGCGGGGGGGGGGGATGCAAGACGATGAGTCAGGCAGCTTGGCGGACAAAGACATCTTCATATCTACCTTTGGCAGAGAGGATAATAAAAGAAACAAATAATGTTGTTAGAGTGATAATCTTTAATTTTATCTTATTACTGGACACAATTAAATAATAAATTACAACAAAATTACTTGATAACATTGTTTACAAATAATGTTTTGACTAGTGATAAACTTTAATTTTATCTTATTACTGGACACAATAAAATAATAAATTACAACAAAATTACTTGATAACATTGTTTACAAATAATGTTTTGACTCGTGATAAACTTAAATTTTATCTTATTACACGACGTATTAAAAATAATAAATTACAACAAAATTGTATGATAACACTGTCATGCTTTTGTCTAACGGTTTTGTAGCTCTTTTTTAACATTTTGTATAGTAGAGTCACCAATGGTATTAGTGTATCCTATAGGACTTAAATCTTGCACCGTTTCTAATAGCAACATTTCAACATCAGGTTCTTTGCAACTCCCGATAACTAAAGTCCGCCTCAACACACTGTCTGAAATAATGTAAAACAATGATTGATAATGTAAGAAGGGCCCATAAGTGACATTACACATTTTTTGTTGTTGTTGTTGTTGTCATGCTTTATTTATTTCGTTTAGACGAAATGTTAATATCTTTATTTATACAATTTGTCGTTTGAACGAAAAAAATATCCATTTAAACGAAAACGAAATCAGCGTAAGTACAACAAACGCGAATACATGCAATATCACTTTAGGGGCTCCGTAATTCATATTTTTTTCGTTCAACCACAAAACATTGTATTATGTCTGAAAAACGTTGTATTATGTCTGAAAAAACATTGTATTATGTCTGGAAGTAGTAGACTAAGCGTCGATAACATTTCAACCCAGAATCCAAAATGGAAGTACAATTTTTGTAAAGTTTGTGACACTGAGCTTCACATGCGATAAAAATAAACCAACTTCAAACCAACCTATATCAATGTACTATTTTGTTAGACAACGGATTACTCTGTTTACCTAAGATTATATCTAATAACTAAAAAGGGCATTCTTTGCTCAACCTTTAAAGGATAACATGACTATGATGGTATGAAGACTGTGACCGGGCAGACGCCCAAAAATCTTATAGCATATCTCTGGTGGCTGGTTTGTGACATTGTGTTTTCGTCTTGCAACTCCGCCAAGCGAAAAATCGAGAATGAAAAAATTAAAATGGCGTGGGCGCGGAGCGAAAACACGCCAATTAGCTCCTCGACCCTGCCATTTTATTTTCTTAAATCTCGGTCCGCTACCCCGCGGGGCGAGGTTCTATTTATCAAACATCGCCCAGCGGCCCCGCTAATAAGCGTGTTTTCGCTCCACGCCCACGCCATTTTAACTTGTTAATTCTCAATTTTTCGCATGGCAAGTTCGCGGGGCGAAAACACGAATGACGAATGACACAAATCAGCCACCATACATATCAAAAAGCACAATACATTAAACTTTATAAATGAGTGCATTTTCTTCCTCTTTAAGTTCAAATCTATTTAAATAATGAATTTACAGTGTTTAACGATTTCCACTTGAAGGAAATAGCTAAGCATGAGTAATTATTTGTCCTAATTGCACTAAATAAATACGAAAAAAAAAATTAATTGTAAAAGTATTATCATTTTTTAGGCTTATTTGGCCGTTAAGAAGTTAAAGCTTTGCACACCCGCTTGAATGGCTTTCACTAACTACTCACTCCGAATAACATCCACTGTAAAACCTTTGTATCCTAGTACTGGAGGTAGGTCCGTAGAATGAACATTGGTCATTTTGTCTAGAATGGATTGGTAGTTTCTGTTTGTCTGATGTATGGTCCATACAGGGTCGGGCCTTCCGGAAAATATGTGCAATGTGATGTTGATATTGTCTCCACCATCCGCTGTTGCTGTAATTATAAACATAGTCCATTTCTTAATAAATTTTTTTAAAATTTCAAGTATCAAGTGAAGCTTTCAAAATGAAAAAATTCCACAATGAATAACAAAAAAGGATAATAAGAATTAAATTAAAAATCGATTTTATATACGATTATAAGCCGAATTTTAGCAAACAAGCGTTGCAACGCTTTTCATTTTTGGAATAGTTTTCACAATAAAAATGATAATTCTGGAATTACAGGATGGGGGAATGAGCTAAGAATTTGTACACAATTTATTGGATAAGATCTAAATCAATTGGAACGCATATCTCGGAAAATATTTTCAGGCCAATCATATCAAGAAAATCTTCAGTGGAGTCCCTTTTCGGCAGCCGAACGGACAGACCAACACCCACACAGAAAACGTCAAATCTATATGAGCTGTGTCACGACAAAACCAACATAGTGGGTTTGCGACCAGCATGGATCCAGACAAGCCTGCGCTTCCGCCCAGTCTGATCAGGATCCATTCTGTTCGCTATCAGTTTCTTTTCTCAAGGGACAGGACGTGAAGTGGTTGCACACTTGGTTCAAGCGAGCGAATTGGTTGCAAACTTGACAAAATGGCGGACACGGCGTGATTTTTTGAAACGGGTGAACGAATTTTTGCCAGGCAAGTGGGTTTCTTTTTTATTTTGAAGTTCATTAGTATGTCTATTCCATAATGCAATATATATATGCCACACTCGGTTAAAGATTTCAGCATCCTAGATTCTGTTTTGACGAAGTTATTGAAGATATAAACTGATCATGTAGATATTTTGAAATTTGACATGTGACTGTTCTGGTCAGTTTTTCTCCTAATTTATTCGAATTTGTAAGTTTTGAACTGCATTTAACAATAACAAAATATGTTTCTGTCAATGCTCTACAAATGGTTTAGTTCGCAAGTCCGAAGATAACGTTCAATACACAAAATATCTTGTTCAAGCACATTTTGGTTGCAGACTTATACTTCAAGCATTTTTGGTTTGCAAACTTATTCTTATTCTATTGAAATCCATAGTAAAACTTTGCAAAAGGAGTGCAGAAGGTTATATTTATTAACCTTTTTTTCAATGGCAATTATTGACATTTATGTTCTGTTACTTGTTTTTGTTATAAATGTTATTTATACCTTACCTTCTTCTTTTACAACAATTATGCACTTTATGTTTCAAATTACATGCTTCTCAGTTCAATACTATAATCATCAGTAAAAGCCTACAGACAAAATAATAGCATATAGAAAAATATTTATCGAAACTTCAATTCTAAAATATGTCATGATATCATATGTAAAAAATGCAAATGAAAAACTACATACAAACAAACGTATGTGAAAGTACCGTTGTTATGTAAGTGAATTATTTTCATCATAAACATAAGGACATGTGCACACATACGATGTTACTTCGGCAAAATGTCCAAAGTTTATCAAAACCACAAGAAATGCTAATTTGTTTGTTTCGTATGTAAAGATCAGCAGTTGCCTTAGACATAAAATATGTAAAAGTACTTATTTACTATTTTTACAAACCAAAAGTTAAAATGACATGCTTGTTTACAATATTTCGGATTTGATATACATCATATGTCAATTGGTATTCTTAAGATGATTTTGAATATTAGATCATAATATAAATGATATACGCTTGGTTATTTACATTGACTGATACGTGACAAAACTACTTAAAGTCATTGTTCGAGTTAGGGAATTTGGAAGATGTTTCGATTGGTCAATAATAAGGATCAATTTAAAGAAACATGTGAATAATGCCCTTATGTCAATGTTAATATAGTTTTTATCTACTATATAATCAAATTTATTTCAAATCTCATGAAAGCTGTTTGTTAAATTTTTTACTTATTTTCCTTTACAATTAGTCATGCCGAGAATAAAAAAATTCCTAAGACTTTGTAAAAAATAAAGATTAAGTATATCGAGGAGAAAAAATGATGAAGATAAACACAACTGAACTTCAAGTTTATATCTATTAGAAAGACCCTGTGTTAGGATATATCTGCACACATGCACAATTTCTATATTTATCACACACCCGTGCCGATTTTGCGACTCCGTAAATATGGTATTGCACGGCCGTGCATATATTTTGACGTGACGTCGTTAGCGTTATACAAACCTAGTGTAAAGACGCGCTAAATGTTAACGTTATACTATAGTCGCGTCAATGTAAAATTACTCTTGTTTCACTTTAAACCGTCTTTATTTTTGGTATGTGATAAATAGAATATTAAATTCGTGTAAGTTAATTACTGAATTTATTGCACTCGTTGAATAAAATAATATTATGCTCGCCAGAGGCTCGCATAATATATTTTTATTCAACTCGTGCAATAAATTCAGTATTAAACTTACACTCATTCAATATCCTCTATATATTTCTTATTAGATGAACGGGTATAATTGCCTTAATATTGCTAATTATTTTTAAAAAAAAAATGATAAGTTATTCCTCGCTAAAAATATGCATGCCACATTATTGACACAAAAGTTTGCAACCAAAAATGCTTGAAGTATAAGTCTGCAACCAAAATGTGCTTGAACAAGATATTTTTGTGTATTGAACGTTATCTTCGGACTTGCGAACTAAAACCATTTGTAGAGCATTGACAGAAACATTTTTGTTATTGTTAAATGCAGTTCAAAACTTACAAATTCGAATAAATTAGGAGAAAAAACTGACCAGAACAGTCACATGTCAAATTTCAAAATATCTACATGATCAGTTTATATCTTCAATAACTTCGTCAAAACAGAATCTAGGATGCTGAAATCTTTAACCGAGTGTGGCATATATATATATTGCATTATGGAATAGACATACTAATGAACTTCAAAATAACAAAGAAACAAAGAAAATTCGTTCACCCGTTTCAAAAAATCACGCCGTGTTCGCCATTTTGTCAAGTTTGCAACCAATTCGCTCGCTTGAACCAAGTGTGCAACCACTTCACGTCCTGCCCCTTGCTTCTTGTTATATGTAAGCGAACAGTATGGATCCTGATCAGACTGCGCAGATGCGCAGGCTGGTCTGGATCCATGCTGGTCGAAAACCCATTATGTTGGTTTTGTCGTGACACGGCTCATATAACTCGACCTTTGGTAGTGGATTATAACAGATGACAAGCTATGACTTAGAGTGATGAACTTTAATTTCAACTTATGACTGGACACACATAAAAATAATAAATTACAAGAAACTTGTTGGATAATATTGCTATGCTGTCATCTAACCATGTTGTAGTTCTTGTCTAACTTGATGTATTATAGAGTCTCCAATTGTATCACTGTCTCCTACAGGCCGTAAATCTTGCACGGTTTCTAATAGCAACATTTCAACATCAGGTTCTTTACAACTCCCGATAACTAAAGTCCGTCTCAACACACTGTCTGAAATAATGGAAATAAAACAGTTTGATAATGTACGAAGGCCCACAAGAGACTTTACACATTTTTTGGTTGTTGTTGTAATTTGTATTTTTTTTGTTTAAACGAAATGTTAATTTCTTTATTTTATACAATTTGTCATTTATAAACGAGAAGGAAATCACACAATCAAATTAAAAGCAAATGCATACGATGTCACTTTAGGGACTCCGCAATTTAATTGTTTTCTTTCAAGGAGTCAGCACTGTATTACTCTGAAATTCGCAGAATTATTACAAGTATATGTCGATAATAATTTTACCCTGTATCTCTTATGGAAGTATAATTTTGTAAAGTTTAGGGGAATGACTATCGATATAAGTACTCACTTGGAAATACCTCCACCCTAAAACCTTTGTACCCTAGTATTGGGGGTAGGTCCGTAGAATGGACATTGGTCATTTTGTCCAGAATGACCTGGGTTTTCTGTTTTTATGACTATCGTCCAGACAGGGCGGGGGCCCTTTTCCCGGGAAAAAATGTCAACGTATGTTGATTGTTTTCCCCCAATTTGCTTGGCGTAATTTTAAAAAAAATTTTTCATAAAT